AGGGTTCAACACCGAGTCCCACCAGAAATATTTATAGACAGTCTGGTGAGCGTTTGTTCAAAGGGCTGGCATGCCCTGCATGACCTCCATTGCGCAGTATAGAACCAAGGACTTGCGGCAAAGCATGCGTGTACTAGTCCCAGCGGCTTGGCATGGTGACTGTGACCCAAGTGCTTCGTCCAAAGCCCTTCAGAGGCATCACCCGTCTCCCACCAGCTTGCTGCCCAGGAAGAATGTCGACTCTCAAGGTTGAGCGCTCGCAACACCTCACATTGAGAGGACTCTCAAGACAAAACTCACTTCCTCATGACAAGAAGTAATGACGAGGGTAGATAAGGAAGAAAGCAACGTACCTCATAATGCTGCCCCCAACCACAGATTTCTCACCGGCAACCTTATGTGCATTTATGATGACCGGTCTTTGCCTCGACACAACAAACAACAGAATGCAGTTCCACCTCGGCTTAAATGCCACATAAGCGAGCTCTCATCATCCACCACATATCTTCCTGGTGCGCCCACACGACCCTTGGCTGCCTATCACTCAACGCCCAAGCCTTATTACTGCCCCACACCTCATGCGAAGCACCAAACAGCTATTGCGAAGAGTCAATGAAGCGCAGTTCGAACTAGCTCCGACACCAAATTGCAAGGAAAATGAGCAATAGCGAGATGACAATGTCCAAAGGGGGGTGTCCAAAGTGTGGGATCTCTGGAACTCGGATCTGTCCCAATGGTGCTCCTCTACGGAGCTAAGAGCGAAACTTCATCATCTGAGGTCGGTGCAGGAACGGGTTGACAGGGTGGTGGCCAGTATACCACAGGGATGGAAGGACATCCTCAGGGACCCTTTTCCAACTTATGAGGGACAATGGGTAAGAACTGGTGAAACTGCTCAATCGATGGAGATGTGGAAGGTACGGGAATGCCTAGACCAGGGCCAGGCGATAGTCACACCCTTCTCGGTCACTACTAACAAGGGGAGGATCTTGTCTTCATTAGAGGAGTAGGAAGACTGCATATCTCCTTCCCTCGAGCTGTGTCAATTGTAGTCTGTGCAAAACGGAGGGGCAAAGAAACAGTTAAATACCAATGTCCGGTAGGTCTGCAGCCCACTAATAGACATAGAATTCTGCCCCTGCACCGAGGATGGGAGTTGGTGGAGCCTGCTAAAAGAGTCTTTTTGTCAGATTACTCCCTCTCCATGAGGTACCAGATGCAGTCCAAGCCATGGTCTATTCCGCTAGGAGTCAAGAATAGATGGCAAATGGAGGCAGGAGAAAGGTCTCACATGTCAGGAAATCTCAACTCCCGAATTCTAAGGAAATTGTGGAGATAACTAAGACAGATCCCATCTTCCAAATTTGCAAGTCTGGCTTGGCTGCAGTCACATAGAATTGTCCCTACTGCAAGGAAAATAAGATACAACGAGATGACAAATTCCAGATTACATCATCACATTGAAAGCCAGATAGTCACACTGTGTCCAGAGAGCAGCATTGCACCAATAATACACCAATGGAGGTTCGTAGTACTGAAAACCAATGTCAAGGAGAGCTTCTCTCTCCGCCACAACACAAGAGCCCAGTCCCTTCACACTCCTACTTGGCGCTCAGCGTCCAGCCTACTCCTACACAGCTACGATCAGCCTACTAATAGACAATGCAACTGTTGACATCAGCGGCAACCCGAAGTACTTGAAGATGTCGCCCAAATGCAGACCATCGCCAATACAAGGTATGTGCCCTCACATCATCATCATCATCATCCTTCGCCCTTCCCTGACTTTACACCCATGCATGTCTTCTCTTACACCCGAAGACCACCCCTACGTCCCACTGTACATCCGAACCCAGCCCCCTATGAAGGCTGGCTATGGCGCTGCCCTCAGCAGCGCCCTGCTTCAACACACGACCGCATGTGTGCAGCCTCTTGCTCCAATGCCAGCAGCCAGCCCGCGAGCTACCGCTCCAGCAGCGCTGCTGCCAGCCAGCAAGTGACCAAATGAGGCTGCCTGGGGAGAGCTCTTTCCTTTATGGAAAGAGTTGGCCTGCTCGTGCAGCCTGGCTATCCTAGCCTGGGCCCAGAAGCTTCCGGAAGGCCCCAGGATGCTGCCTTTGCGCTGCAGCTATTGGGCCTTGTTCAGTTGGGCCTCCCAACTGTCAGTGTACGAGGCTGCGAATCACGCCCAGGGCCTGCATTCTTTGGAAAAGCCCGGTAGGCCCTGGAAATGTCTTTGTTGCTCGGCCTGCGTTTCTCTCAACCAACTGGTGCGTCGCAGCTGCCTGGACCCCAAATATGAAATTGACAGTCAAAGGCCTCTTGTGACAAGTTAGGCCCGCCTTCACTTAGGGCGGGCACCACTACAACCGGGGCCCCTTAGGCCTGCCAAGGACACAGATCCTCGCATTCCCTCCTCCTTTACTTCGTTAGTCGTCTGAGAAGTCTCTTATTCTGCAGACATTTTCCCTTTTTGTTCTCTTTCATAGCCCGCGATCACTTAAGGAGCTGTTCTCAGGAGTTATTCTCGTGTGAACCAGCGATCTTCCTTGGGATCCACATGATGTATGAATCTCACACGATACTGCATTCTCGGTTTAGGAGGGCGCCCTTTGCCTGATGGTCAAGGAACAGGCATCACTCGATGCTCCACGATCTGGTCAACATCCACCTCGCCATCCATGGTTGGGGGCAGCATTGATCTTCTTGAAGGAAACTGGTTAGTGGCAGCGAAAGGTGCCAACTTGGAGGCATGGAACACAGGGTAAGTGCGTAAGTGTGCAGGAATACGAATCACGTATGAAGGCCCATCCGGTTGATCCCTTACAATGTCTTAGATCTCCCAGGGACCAAAATGTTGTGGCATCAGTTTTCGTGATATCCCCATTTCCTGACCTAGTTCATATGACTTTACCCAGACTCTATCACCTACCTGAAAGTTAGGGGTCCGTCTATGTTTATTCTCAGATGCGATCATAGCATCCTGCGACTTCCTAATATGTTCAACGACCTGCTGCAGCATTTGTTCATATTTGATAGCAAAGTCTATGTTGCCAGGTGCTGCAGTGGGTTGTCTTTCTAGTAGCAGAAAGTCAAGTGCAGTTTTGGGCTTCCAACCAAGATGTAACTGGTTGGGAGTCATACCGGTAGTACTGTGCACAACATTGTTGTATAGGCTGGCGACGAGAGGTAACTTCTCGTCCCAGTCATCCTGATGTGGCTTAATATAATGCCGAAGCAGGTGTTGTACTACCCGGTTCATATGTTCTGCCTGGCCATTTGACTCAGGGTGATTCCCTGAGGTCATTTGGAGTTTTGTGCCCATCTGTTCAGCAGTCGATTGCCACAGTTCACTTGTGAATCTCACATCCCTATCACTAACGATGGATGTAGGCAAGTTGAAATCTCGTACCCAATTATCCATAAACAATTTGATGACATAGTCAGTTTTAGCACTTTCAGGCATAGCAATCAGTCTGACATACTTAGAAAAACGATCCACTATAACAAAGATGTGTCTCTTTCCATACCTGCTGGTCACAAGAGTATCCATAAAATCCATAGACACACTCTGACCTGGTCCTTCAGGAATCGGCAAGGGCTTGATCAGCCCAAGCGGAGCCTGAGTCCTTGGTTTGTCCCTTTGGCAAACCTGGCAGGTTTCAACATAACGTTTTGCATCTAGCATCATAGAGGGCCACCAGAATCTCTGTACTAAGTTCGCTGATGTCTTCTTGTATCCAAAATGACCAGTTGCATCATGGCATTCTCCTAAAAATAAACTACGCAACAACTCACTACTGGGAACACACAACCTTTTATTCCCTGCCTTCTCGAGAAACAGCAAGCCGTCTACCATCGTAAATTCGTCCAAAGTCTTTTTGTCCTTTGCTTGGAATTTACAGATGATCTCAGACATAACTGGATCTTGCTGATAGGCTTCCACCAATGATCGAGTTAGATCGCTAGATATGCCAAACTCTGTAACTAACGCGTTCAGATAATCTGCCCGACGAGATAAAGCATCAGCCACTTTGTTGTACTCTCCCTTGATTGGATCAAGTTGATAGTCATACATGTCTATCACTTGTATCCATCTCTTGAGTGCATCAGAGAGCACGGGCTGTGTCTTGATCCAGCGCAAGGTTTCATGGTCAGATCTCACATAGAAGAATCTGCCTAGGAGATCATGTCTCCAATGAACCAGCGCTCTATATAGGGCATAGAGCTCAAGCTCATAAGTGGACTTAGCTAGTTTTTGAGATGGCATCTTTTTGCTCATATACTCGATAGGTCTCAACTTGGGCCCCTCCTTTTGCGCAAGGACTGCACCGATGCCATATTGGCTGGCGTCTGTAGTCACGACAAATGGCTTATCGGGATCAGGAAGTTTAATAACCTCATAGTGTGTCAGAGCATACTTCAGTTTCCTGAAGGCCGCCTCACACTCTTCAGTCCACTCCCAAGGGGTGTCCAGTCAAGTTAGATCCGTTAATGGGGAAGTTATAGTACTATAGTTTTTCACAAACGAACGATGGTAGCCCGTCATCCTCCAAAACGATCTGACCTCAGTAACAGTCTGAGGTCTAGGCCAGTCACGTATGCTGGCCACCCTGGCATCATCCGGCCTCAGTCCATCTGCTGAGATTTCATGACCCAAGTACAAGATCTTGGTGTGACCAAACTCGCATTTCTCCAAGTTAACCTTGTACTGGTGTTGTCTTAGGAGACCTAGCATTGTTTTCAAGTGCTCAGCATGCTCCTCTACAGTCCTACTAAAGATGAGAATATCGTCGAGGTACACGACTATAAACTTTTCTTAGTAGTCATGGAAAATCATGTTCATCGCGTGCTGGAACGTACCAGGTGCATTGCATAGTCCAAAGGGCATCACCACAAACTCGTACAGACCGTACCTGGTCTGAAATGCGGTTTTGTGCTGATCCTCAGGCCTAATGGCAATTTGGTATCCGGACTTCAGATCTATCTTGGTGAAGTACCGGCATCCCTGCACTTTATCCAAGAGGTCGTCGATGCGGGGTGGGGGCTACGCGTTCTTAATGGTGATGGCATTGAGGCTCCTATAGTCAATGCACATCCTCAAGGTACCTCCCTTCTTCGGCACGAATAGGACTGGAGCGCCGTAAGGGGAGGTACTAGGCCAAATCCATCCCTTCTCTGTGAGCTCCTTGAGCTGGCGGCGAAGCTCATCTAACTCCACAGGAGACATCCTATAGATTCGTCCTGTAGGCACCTTACTACCTAGGACAACCTCTATTGCATGGACAACATCCCTTTCTACCACGCCTGTGTGCTCCTCAAAAAGGTCTGAATATTGAGCGGCGACTGATTCTATCTCTGGGGGTGTTTTTACGGCCTCCCCTTCCTCAGAGACAAATACTAAGTACATGCCCTCCTCGCGGTTCTGCTTATAGTAGTTATAGAAAGATGATGCACACATGCACCCGTAATTTTCTATCAGACTGCTAGCTTTGTACTTCTCCAATCTAACAGTTCTACCATTGGGCAATTTGTGGATCAACACCTTTCTATCCCAATCAAACTGAGGTTGCCCGACCTCGAGGTAGTACATGCCTAAGAGCATATCAAAGGGCAGTTCGTCGCTAACCAGGAAGGAGATCTTATGGCTCACTTCCCCTCCTCCATAGGAGAAGGTGCAGACTACGTCCTTGACATAGTCTTTTACCAACATTTGGTGCTTGTTGGCCAGCGTAGAAGCTACAGTTCTGCTAAGCCGCTGCACTTGGTCCCCTAAGCGCAATCTATCCACACAAGCACGACTGATGAAGTTCCGTGTAGAGCCTATGTCTGCAAAGGCGCCAACCTTACGGCCACCTACATCAACCTCTACCACAAAATGTTCACCCTTTGGACCTCGACTGATCATCGCCCAAGAGTCCCTGGGGTCCTTCCCTGACCACTCAGTCCCTAACTCTTCTAGGGCCTCAGACACATCTCTCGAACAGAGCGTCGGTGGGTCTAAATGTGTCTGCGGGGCGATACTTGGGTCACTAGCCTTGGCCAACGCCTGAAGTGGGGAAGGCAACGTTACCACTTCAGCGCGAGTAAGAGCGGCTAAAACTCCTACTGGCCCGAGGTGTTTCCCTACGAAGTGCTCGTAGAAGCACCGCGAGAGTTCAAATAAAGTCCCACCACCGTTGGTGAGGCTACCCGCGTCGTGACCGTTTTGCCTCGACACGTTCTAAACGTGTGGCCAAAGTTGCCACAGCTCATGCACGTGCCCCTAGCAACTCGGTCCCTCCACACCTCATACTCTAAACCAAGTTTTACCCATGCGGGTGTTCCTTGGTCGCCCTGACCCGTGGACCGTGCTACCTTCTTCTTCCCGGTCCCCCTAGCCTTTTCCTTGATAGGTGCCACGACTCCCCCATCCGAAGTCTCACTGGCCCCATCATGCTTTGTCTCCTCCGCAAAGTCTGGGAAGTCGTCAATTTCTGTCGTCTGACCATCATGGTCGACGAACATTAGTTGAACTTTTTTTTTCTAGTCCTAGGGTAGTCTCTTCTTCCTACCATCGCCCTGACTCTGATGCGCAGACCCCAACTTAGCCTCTATGTCTAACGCTTTCTTGCTGAAAGAGGCGAAGTTATGCTGATCGACATAAGCCTCATCTACCAGCTTTGTCCTCACCTTTGAAGGCAGACATCTAAGGTAATCCGTAAGGAGTACCTGCTGGTCATAGCGCATGCCAGGAACCACGAGCAGACGTTCTCGGTATCCGTCAACTCTCTAACATTCTTGTACCTTATGGCACAAAGACTGTTGATAGCATCGGTGGCCTTTTGAGCCCCTTGTGGGTCATGCCACCTGTTGTAGACGGTCCGTACGAACTGTTCCAATGTCTGGGCCTGGGCCCAGGCATCGAAATCCTGACCGTAGCCCTGCTGCTGCACTAGGCCATTCAACCAGCGGGCTGCTGACCCCTCTAGAAAGGAGGCAGCCACAACAACTTCTTGCTCTGGCCTGGTAAGTTTGTGCCTCACATAGGTAAGCACCGTCCTTACCCAGGTATCCAAGTCCTCATCCTTCTTTCTGTCGTCGGAGAAGGGCTTAGGACTCAGCAAGGGTATTTTGGGCATCCACTGCATCGGTTGCATAGGCTGCATGGGCCTTGGGGCTTGCTGCAGCGGCTGCATAGCCACTGAAACAGGCTGTTGCACACTAACCTGGGACTGGCTTGACAGTGGGACTGTAGTGACCATTGTCGTGGATGGTACGACCGAGACTCTATGAACCGGACCACTAGTTGCTACCAAACCACCTGGAGGGGGCATGCCAAACATAGGTGAGAATGGAGGCCCTACCGGCGACAGCGTCACTGATGGACCTGCACCTAGAGGGGGAACTACAGCATATTGTGGCTGCCTCATCATGGGACGAGGAGCCCGTAGTGCAGCCAGAGTCTCTTTCTGGCCTGCCATCAGTTCAGCCAGCACTTCCTGCTGGACAACCAGCGTTTCCGCCACACAAAGAAGTGAGTTACGCAGCGCTCGTATCACAGGATCAAGCGTTGACTCATCTAATGCTTCCAGTCTGCCTAGCTCCTCTCTTCTACTACCTAGTCTAGCTTTACTCAGGATTGCTCTCCGTCTCCTCTCTGCTGCCTCATCCAATTGCCGCTGTAGCTCATCCTGAAGTTCTTCTGCTTGGAGGATCTCATAATCCTCCGGCGTGAGTTGAGTCTACTGGTTGACTCACAAGCCAACACTCTGGCTAATGGACCCTTGAGAACCACTCTGACTAACTCCTGACGAAGTGGACTGTGAAGAGGTTTGGGACATGGTAGATGAAGTAGCCATGGTTGCACCGATGCTAGCTGAAACTCTAGTCTTGGCACTATCCTCAGCTGCCCTCGCTCTCCTTGTCGCTGCTCTCTCTCTAGCCTCTCTCCGCAATCTCCTCTCGTCTCCTGGACCTAACTCTAGGAAAGTCAAAGGTCGATTGCGAGCAGTTCCACGAGTAGTCCTACGGTCGTCCACTAACAACTCCTCCTCACTAGTGCTTGCATCACTCATGAGCTACAGTGTGTCTGATCTAAACTAGAATTCACACTGAATCCTACCTTAGCTTGACACACAACCAATTACGAATCACAACTAATTTCGGTCGGACTGAACAGAAACAGTTAGGTGATGTAGTAACAACTAATGTCAGATCCTACAGGAAATATCATATCTATTTTTAGATTACCCTAGAACAGATTGCTGTGAAGCAAAGATATAGCCTATCTGCAGCTGTCTGTCAGTTGTTATCATCAAAGATAAAAATAGTATCTCCTGTTGGAGATATATGCTTGATGGCAGATTGTCTGTTTATTGCCACTGCCAACAGTTACCGGAATCCCCCATCCCCCTGTATCCTTCTTGATTGGTCACTTTGTGTCAACGTCCTGAGCATCTGGTTGAGCAGCGTGTCTGAAGGTGTGCAATCCGGCCCACCCCTGTGCCCCAAGTCAACGCGAGCCTGCCAGCCCCTGCATATTATTTACCCTCGCATGCAACGAGCCTTACACCCGGTTTGATCTGGCTGATCAGGAGGCATTTAAGGAGATCCCCCGTAACTCCTCAGGAATTATTTAACGTCGCAGACAGGACGACGATCACAGCCAGAGTCAACACCGAGCCCCCGCCAGAAATATTTAAAGACGGTCTGGTAAGCGTCTGTCAAAGGGGTGGCATGCCCTGCATGACCGCTATTGCGCAAGTAGCAGTACCAAGGACTTGCGACAAAGCATGCATGTACTAGTCCCAGCGGGTTGGCATGGTGACCGTGACCCGAGCGCTTCATCCAGGGCCCTTCAGAGGCTTCACCCATCTCCCACCAGCTTGCTGCCCAGAAAGAATGTCGACTCTCAAGGTTGAGCGCTCGTGACACCTCACATTGAGAGGACTCTCAAGACAGAACTCACTTCCTCACGGTAAGAAGCAATGAAGAGGGTAGATAAGGAAGAGAGCAACGTACCTCATAA